GCCTACTTTTGTTTTTTGTTTTGGGGTTTTTATTTGGTCAATCATGGGGCCTGAACTCTGGGCCTGGGTGCTGTCCCTTAGCTCTTTAGCTCAAGGCTAGGGTTCTACCACTTGAGCCATAGCACTACTTCTGGATTTTTCTGCTTATGTGGTGCTGAGGAATTGAACCCAGGGCCTCATGAATGCAAGGCAAGCACTCTACCACTGAGCCACCTCCCCAGCCATGACCTAGTTTTGTGTAGACAGTTTGGATGTTTCTTCTAAGGTCTGTCTCAGGGTAGGAGGTAGACAGACAGCCAGAGAGGGACTTCCCTGTTCCCACAGTTTTCTTAGTAAAATGTTCATGATATCAAAGTGGCCTTTAGGACACTAAGTACAATCTGAGCCCCATCATAACCAATCATAAAAGCAAGAGCCTTATGAAGCAAATGCATATATTTTAGGGAAGTAAAGAAACAATCAAGTTGAGTGCCGCTGGCTCATACTAGTGATCCTAGCTACTCAGGAGGCTGAGATCCAGAGGTTCACAGCCCAAGCAGAAAAGTTTGTGAGTCTTTATTTCCAAATAGCCAGCAAAATACAGGACTGGAGGTGTGGTTCAAGTTGTATAGAATTAGCTGTTGGCACAAAAGTCAAGTGAGAGCACAAAACCCTGAGCACAAGCCCAAGAACTGGTTAAAACAAAACAAACCACCACCACAACAAAATTACAAACAAGAAACACTGGAAATATAGAAAGATAAATCAAGTAAGACAACAGGACAGTTCAGGGTGCTATTTCATGGCAGGTGAGGGTGGGGCTATAGTGGCTGTGTGAAGAGAGACGTTATTCCTCACACCTGCAGGGCACTCAAACCATGGCATTTAAACCTGACAAAGAGAGCTAATAATCAATTGTGAAATAAGAGGTCACTTTTTTGACTTCGATATTTTCTCCTTTCCTGCTCCAAGTGCCTTACCGAGGCACTCTGCAAAGCTTCTGAAATGAACCCCCCCCCCCCCCCCACCAAAGTGGCATCATGTTCAAGAGGCTAACGCGGTGGTGTACCTTCATTAACAATAACAACATTGGCTTCAGGGGAAAAGACCATTATAGTGCTTATGGCTGTTATGACTCAGCGTGTAACCAAAATGGTTGAGAAGCCAGGCATGAGGCATAACGCTGAGAATCACACAGAGGCAGAGATGAAGAGAGCGGGCCCTGTGTTTCGTGTGGCAGGCTGTCACATCCTGCTTCAAAATGTACAACTGTATGAATTTTAAAATGTGAAATGCTCCCAGTCTCGAACTGTAGGGTTCAGGATCAGACAGCTGAATAGTAAATACAGCGCTGTGCCCCCCAGAGGAACTGCTCACTGTTAAGACTAGCTCCCCTCCCCCCCCATGGCTACGTGACCCTCATCCCTCACTATTTTATCACGTAGAGCAGCCAGGCTTCAAAGTAGCCATACGGTAAACAAAGAATCACGGAGTGCCTGCTTCTGCATACCGAAGATGCCCGAGTCTCAACCACAACAGTCCAAATTAGCTGATTTAACGTAGGCAGAGAATAAACTTGTTGTTTTTGTTCAACACCAAAGTTAATTTTCATGCAGGTGCTGTAGGATCATGGTTTGAAAAACACATAGATTACACACCTTTAGATGGGTGGACTTAATCTGAAAGGACAGATATCTAAACTTCACTATTCCCTAAGGGTGTGTGTGTGTGTGTCTGTGTGTGTGTGTGTGTGTGTGTGTGTGTGTGTGTGTGCAATAGTTTTCTTCTAGCTATGCCATTCCACAAAGGAGTTTAAGATGGCCCTACTATTCCACACAGAGGTAATTCTGTAAGCAGGTTGAAAACAAGAGATGTCCAAAACAGTTGGACACCAGTGTCTCATGCCTATAATCCTAGCTACTCAGGAGCCTGAGATGTGTGCCATGTGCAAAGCCACACCAAGCAGAAAAGCCCTTCAGACTGTATCTTCTATTAACCAGCCAAAAAGAGGGCTGGAGGTGTGGCTCAGGTGGTAGAGTACCAGCAGGGAGCAGAAAGGTTAAAGAACTGTGAAGGAAGCCCTAAGTTAAAGTAACAGTATCAGCACCAAAAAAGAGGCCCAAATAACAACCTGATAGTAAAGGAAAATGCACTTATTCTTTTTTAAATTGAGTTAAAAATGAATGGTGGTGAATATGACCTACCTTCAACAAGTGGTGCGGATACAATGTTAAGTTCAATGCTATCCTTACTAAAGTTAACAAAGGCCATACAATTCGGTGTTTGTGTGTGTGTGTGTGTGTGTGTGTGGGTGTGGGTGTGTGTGTGTGAGAGAGAGAGAGAGAGAGAGAGAGTCATGAGGCTTGAATTCAGGTCCTGGGTGCTGTCCAAGCTCTTTTGCTCAAGGCTAGTACTCTACCACTTTGAGCCACAGCTCCACTTCTGGTTTTTTAATTGGAAATAAGAGTCTTATTGAGACTTTTCTACCTGAGTTGTCTTTGAACAGTGATCCTTAAATCTCAGCCTCCTGAGTAATTAGGATTACAGGAATGAGCTATGAGTGCCTAGCAGGCCATACAATTTTGGTCAGTTAAGTAGGACATCAAAAATTATTGCTGTTGGAATCAGAAACATTATGGCCATGTTCTCAGCCATGCTAGATTCAATACTTTTTTTTAATTATGGACTTCATTTTGTTATCATTTTGATCCCCAAATAATTCAAGTACTATATTAAATAGACTTTTAGGGAGGGAAGTTCAGGGGTTTGAACTCAGGGACCCACACTTGCTAGGAAGGACCTCTATCACAAAACCACATTTCTGGTCTTCGGTTGTACCAGTTATTTTGAGATAGGGTATTGTTTTTTGCCTAGATACATGTCTGGACTGTGCTCTTGCTATTTCCACTTCCTGCCAAAGGCTGGAATTAAAAGGAAAAAAGAACCCATGCAGCCTTTTCTGTTGAAATAAGAAAGAAACTGACTAATCTGGAACCCTAATCCTCTCGATCTCAGTCTCTTGTCCAGCTGAAGTGACTGGTATATGACACTGTAGCCAGCTATCCAAATACCTATTTACACTATATGAGTCAGCCAGACCCTGATGATTCACGCCTGTAATCCTAGCTCCTCAGGAGGCTTGAGATCTGAGAATCATGGCTCAAAGCAAGCCCAGGCAGAAAAGTGTGAGATTCTTATCACCAATTAGCCACTCCCCACTCCCCCCACTCCCCGAATTGCTAGGAATATTGTGCTGGCCCTGAATTCAAACTCTTGTACTGGCACACACACACACACACACACACACACACACACACACACACACACACACACACACACACATACATAATATATATGTGTATATATATTTATATATATATATATATATATGAGCCACTAGAGTTTCATATATTCATAGTGTTGCACAACTGTCACAACTATCAAGTTCTACATTTTCATTATTGTCAGATAGAAACTCTTATCTATTAGCAATCACCCCTGATCCCTCTTTTTGCTCAGTCCCTTAGAGCCACTAATCTACATTTTTGTCAGAAGGCCATTTGTATAGGAAAGAATTTTAATGCCCTCTTTAGAATTTTGAAATAAGAGCTCAGGATCAGACAGCCTATCTATTTATACAAATTTCAGCTCTGTTTAATATGTGCATATTGTCAATCGGGATATTCCACTTAACACACCCATCACTAAACAGTTGCTTTCAATGACTGGGAACATGGAATCATATAGATGATGATGTAAAATGCATCTAACTAGTCCAGTATGGCTGGCATTTACTATTCAACACTGAGTTTTTAAAACTCCATTAACTACATCTGAACATTTGCGTTTTGCATTTCAAGAATCCATTTCGCACAAGAAGCCATTGGGATCCTTGCCTTGTTCAGAGTCTGTGCATCTGGAATATAACATGAAGTCGCAGGGAGACAGAGGGGTGGATGAAAACTGAAAGCCTGCTATGTTCTTATCCTATATCCTGTGTGTGTGCAACCACCAGAGAGATTATCTGGTTGTTTATTAAAGAATTTGCTGGCCCATTGATAGTAGTCCCTTTTAGATGTTCACACGTCAGTGATACTTCCCATTCATTCTATTTTGAAAGTGCTACAGGAGCTTGTTTAACATGAAAGCCATATACAACCTAAGGTCAGGAAGGGAACCGGGCTCATCAATTGGGACCAGGCATCACCCTCTCTCCTCACAGCCAGCCAGAGAACTATACGTTGGTGAACTTTGTTTCACAAAACACAACATTAGCCTCACAGTCTGACTTGCTTTAGATTTCCAAAACCATGTTTAGGACTACCAAGTCGTCCTAAGACGGAGCTACATAGGAATATTTATTTGCATGAGAAGATTAGAACCCAGCTACAGAATGAGCCAGGAATGTAGTCTGACTACAGAATCAGAAACTATCCCTATAAAAAAAAATCCTCCTTCTTCTCTAAAACACTTAAAAAGCCCATTTTTGAGCTCCACTGATTCCATGAGGTTTGAACTTTGGTATTAAGTACCTAGGAAGGAAAAGATGGGGTAGAGAGAACATTGAAAAATTACTAAAGGAGATGGGAGGCCCCCTTCCCTGGCCACCTGAAGCAAGCCTAGGCAAGAGTAGTTATGTACAGAACTTCATTGGATACCCCAGTCTCAACACATGGGTCCCACAAAAACTTACCCCAAAGAGACATATATCCTGGACTGACTCTCGCAGGAATCCCTTCAACTTCAGTTTCTGTTTAGGACTCTTTAATTTAGATTCTGTTTTAGCATTTACACAGTCATAATTTTACTACAAAAGGTAAGTGTCTTGTAAACGAATGGGAAACAGATTGTTTGGCAGGGTTTATAATGTCAGGATTTATGGCTCTAACACACAAAGGGGTCCCTTTGACCTCGAAAATAACAATGGAACGGTAAGAGCTGTGGAGGACTCACCGAGATTTTTTTTGATTAGTTCTCATAATTGCCCCTTATTAATTTGCATGCACATAATAAGCACTCACCTTCACAGTCTGTCCAGCTTCAGGACCATCCTAAAATTTAAAAAAAAATCATAAGTGAGAACAGATAGATGGGATCGCTTGCTTATTCAGAAATATCGTCCGTTAATAATTTAGACCCAATTTCATTGTGTGTTAATTTATAGTATTCTCCTGGGGACCATTCCCTTCAAATGTGTGGGACCAGACAGTTCCTCATTTCCTCCTGAGAGTGAGAGGTTATGTATAAGAATGATATAAATCCTCCAGTGAGCCAACCCCTGTGCTGCTTTTCATGCTCTTGGGCTCTTGGCTATGGTTTTAATTGCATTAAAGTAAGGCTGAAAATGTTAGGGGAGGTGAAGTTATCACACCTTTTGGTTATCTTTCAATCAGATGTGGTTTAATTAATGTTTGATTACTTAAGTCTTAACTCAGGAAATCTGATGGAACCACAATCCATTAAGCAAGAAGATGGTGTGTTTCACATGGGAAGAACCGTTAGGGGCTATTTTGACCTTGAAGAAGACTGGTAGGAGTGTGCATTATAGCTGGACTCTTTTTCCATACTTGTTCTTTCTCCCAGATTCTCAAGCCCAACAAAACTATTATCATACATGGAAATGAGCAGGTTTGCCTCCTTGCCAGCTATCATACAAAGTCAAAGTAGATCCTAGAGGGCTTGAGCTACTGGAACTTCCAAAATGGAATTAGCACTCTGTGACTTTGGTCAGATGACTTTGGTCTCTGGTCGTGACAAGTGGGACAGGTGGCTGTGGAAAAGATTAAGCAGAACTTGGTTCATCAGCTCTTTGCAAACTTGGAGCCATATCCTATTAGTGGATCATGCAGGCAACTTAAAAAGTTATACAATCAATACTGAAATAAAAAAATCACAACAGGGTAGTGGTATCTCATGCCTGTAATTCTAGCTACTTTGGAGGCTGAGAATGGAAGATCACAGTTTGAGACCTGCTAGGGAGAAAAGTTTATAAGATCACTGTTCAACCTATACCTAGGTGTGTGGTAGCATGCACTTGTCATGCCAGCTACAATGGGAAGCCGAAATGGGTGAACTATTGACCATTCACATGTCCAGACAGAAAGTGAGACTCAACAAATCTCAAAAATACACAGCACAAAAAAGGGCTGGAGGTGTGGATCAATGGTAGTGCACATATCTAACAAATGAGAGGTCCTACATTCAAAGGCCAGTACTGCATCATATCATAACAGGAAAAAACTATTACAATGCAAAGAATGGGTCCACACAGCTTTGTGAAACTATTTGTGTAGATGCCCATGCATGGGAGAGGAGGGAAGCACACCATTGTGAAATATATACCTAGCTACAGTGAAGTTTCCCAACACTATATATATATATATATATATATATATATATATATATATATATATGAAGATCCATCTACACACAAGGCAGTCCTCATAGTAATGGAACTAATACTGTAGTAAGTCATAATAAATAACCAGTATTTCTAATAAATAACTGGTATTTCTATAATCAGGGATTTTCTTCTAATTTCATTCTGTACTGGTGGATATTCTCAACAATATCCTCACTGGTCTCTGGAAATATAATTTGTAACATAAGCTTGAGCTACTCACTCTGAGGCGAACTACCTGCCTGAAGATGACTCAAATGAAGTGAGCTATACCACACACACACACACACACACACACACACACACACACACACACACGTGCCTGCCCCCACATATTGCAATACTTCTGCAGAAGCTTGAAGGTTTCAACACATAGTTGTTTTGAGAATGAGATAAGCATTTTAGTCATAGACCTTTAGACCAAAGCTTTGGCTTCCTTAGCTGGTCTCCCTGGACGTCTGTGGCAGAGAGTGAAGATTTAACTGAAGAGGCAAGAACACAGTCCCTGCATTTTAGGATAGCTGATTTCCTTCCCAAGGTAACTACAGCCATCACATTTCAGAGGTACACAGGGTCATATGTATCCTCTCCATGAGGATCTGAGAGGCCAACTCCCAGCTGAGGACTTACCATTGTTCTGCTTCAACTTGCAGAGTTTCAGTCTACCTTCCACCTGAAGATCCACAGTAATTAGTCCAATTTCTTTACTGTGGGTGGGCCATACCTAATCAGTCTCTATTTATAAACATAGTCCGTCACTGAAGCTTGCATTAAAGTAGGGAGGAAGCAGACCATAGGAGGGCAAGGCTTAAACTAGCTTGCATATCATTTTTCCTTTGGAACCAGAGCAGGACTCAGCACATGAATAGTCAAAACATATTTATTATGGAAGAAAATGATCTGTCCAAATCAGATCAGGAGTGTCTTTTATTTCTTTTTAAAATTTGAATACTCAGGGCCTCCTACCACTTAAACCATGGCTTCAGTCCATTTTTACATTAGTTATTTTTCAGATAGGGTGTCAGGTTTTTATCAGGGGCTATACTTCCCAGGTAGCTGAGAAAATGGGCATGCACCATTATACCTGGCTTATTGGATGCACTGGAATATTGCTAATTTTCTACCTACCTAGTCTCTATCCCTGAGCTTTTTTTTTTTCCTTTTTTGCTCAAAGCTAGCACTCTACCACTTTGAGTCATAGCACCACTTCAGGTTTTCTGGTGGTTAATTGAAGATAAGAGTCCCCTGGACTTTCCTGCCAGGGCTGGCTTCAAACTGTGATCCTCAGATCTCAGCCTCCTGACTCTAGGATTCCAGGCAGGAGCTACTGACATAGAGTGGGCAGCATCTGACTGTCTGGTGAGATGTCAGGGGTAGAGAGTACAAGAATAGGATTCAACCTGAAAAAAAAATTCTGGGCAATCCATGCACTCACCTGCATGGAGAAGGTGAGCGAGGTCCCCTGGAAATGCTTCTCCACCACCGTTCCGACTCTCTGGGTCGCCTGAAACAAGTCGGCCACTTCATCGGGACGCAGGTCTCCAAAGCGTGCCACTGGCCGCAGAGGGCACACGAGGACATCTGGAGCAAGGGGTGTTAAGGCACACTCAGCTGGCTTTGGAGAATACATCATCCCCCCATTCCTGATTCCCCTTGACCTCTCACAGACTAAAGAACCAGCAAACACATTTTTACCAAGAACGGAACTCCCAGATGGGCAAAAAGGGCTTAAAAACATGGTTAATTCGACTTCAATAGAGAAGCTGTTATATGCAGAATGTCTTTCAGGAGAAGAGATATTAATGTGGAGCGTGAGATAATTACCCCAGGGGGCGAGATCTCCTCTCACCTTTATCTCCCCACCCCTCTTCTAAAGTTCCTTTCATTCAGCAGCCTCAGGGCCCATGCTGGAGACACAACTGGCATCTGGGAGGTAACTTATGGTAGGGAACATTGTAAGTAAGATTTCAAGTTTCCTTTTAGAGAAACAACAGAAAATATGAAGTGAATATATGATAGCAATTGATCTTCCTTTTTTTTAAGGAGTGTAGACTTCTAACAAGGTACAGTGAGTTTCATAAAGTAAAAATGGATCACGGGCTAATTTATGACAAGGTTCCTCAGACTTATTATTCAGACTCCAAGAAGGTATTTTGAAGGTAAATAATTGAAGACAAGGGTATCTATCATAATGGCAAAGCACTTCATAAGTTATGACAAAACAACATGTTTTGTCTTTAGGAAAGTGATATAAGTCAGTTGCCTATTGGTAATAAATTAATATTTACTGTTATACCATCGACATTTTTGAACATGAACTCATACATGAGCATACACACACATACATATGCATGTATTTGTTGTGTGTTTACACAGATCCCCTACTTATGAAGGGTTTACATCCCAATTAGTCCATTATACACTGATGCATTTAAGACCTAATCTTTTGTATATCACAGCTTAGCTTAGCTGACCTCAAACCTTCTCAGATCATTTATATACGCCTACAGATGGGCAAAAGCATCTAACACAAAGCCTAATTTAAAAGAGCATGCTAAAGATTTCATTCAATTTATTGAATTTTGTACTGAAAGCCAAAAACAGAATGGTTGCATAGGGATACTTTCCCATCACTGTAAAGTTGAGAAATAAGTCACATCATCTTAAATTAGGGCCTATGTCTATAGATATAGTGTTTATTAATAGTAGTTTAATTTTCAGATATAGTGGGAGAAAAAAAATGAAAAAAACTCTCATATGTATTTTCTATTTCATTCTCTTCTCCATTCTCCTTGTTGCCTTAAGAAAGCATGATTATGCCTAGAGCTCAGCAGCAAACAAAAAACCCCCAGTCCTGCAATTGTTAGTCTCACCAGACTATCACGCACTTTAGCCTGTCACACCATTGGTAGAACTCAGGGCCCAAAGAAAATGTCAAAGGCTCAGCTAGACAGGCTTGATTTCCACAAGAGAAGGGAAAGCAAGCAAGCAAGCAAGAGAGAGAGAGAGAGAGAGAGAGAGAGAGAGAGAGAGAGAGAGAGAGAGAAAGGAAGGAAGGAAGGAAGGAAGGAAGGAAGAAAGAAAGAAAGAAAGAAAGAAAGAAAGAAAGAAAGAAAGAAAGAAAGAAAGAAAGAAAGAAAGAAAGAAGGAAAGAAAGAGGAAAGCGATTAATTTTGCTCGTAATCAGGAAATTCACGTCAATAGTAAACTAGGGAAAGGGGGCATTTGTTTAATCTGAGTTCATTTTTTAAGAGAGATGAAGGGAGGACTTTACCCATAGGGCATCTGATACTTAAAAAGATAATTATCCTTCTTTGGCAGGGCTGCTTTATTATCATGGGTCAATGAACCATTTAAAAATGAAGAATTTCCTTTCATTTCCTTTTAGCAGATTGCCAGCCTCCACTCCCACTGAGTTGCTTTTCCTTTGTGAAAATGGACCTTCCCCATCTTCGCCCTCCTTACTTTAATTTACACCCTCCCTTAGGCCCTGATTCCCAAACCTCAGCAAGATGACAACCATGCAAGCTTCCAACAATATCCATTAATTGCTGTGTTAGGCTTCTCTGCACACAGCAAGGGAGGTGGGAAAGGAATGGCATTTTCCTTATCGATGGCCTAAGGTGAAAATGAGTGGACTAGATCTGACTACTTTTGCAGCTCATGTAAATTTAGTAACTTCAATGACACCAAACTTTCTTTTGGTATCATTTCTTCTCAGCAATAAAATATTATGTCAAGTTTGCTTATGAGCTGCTCATAGCTTAACTCAATATTTAAGAGTCAAATATATGGGGAATTAAGTCAAAAGGGGTGATCAGTCAGATGCTATATTCTTTGTAGAAAAAAGCTATGCTCCAGAATTACATCACATATGCATTTATTACTTTTATGGATCATTACTTAATAATATAGATCACAACAAGGTGGAACAGGTTCAACACATTCTCATTGAGGTGATTTTTTTCTATTTTTTTTTGTTGGTTGTGGGGCCTGAACTCTGGGCCTGGGCTCTGTCCTTCAGCTCTTCAGCTCAAGACTACAGCTCTACCACTTGAGCCATGGTGCCATTTCTGGCTGTTTCTGCTTATGTGGTACTGAGGAATCGAGCCCAGGGCCTTGTGCATGCTAGGCAAGCACTCTACCACTGAGTTACCTTCCCAGCCCCAAGGTGAATATTTTTTGCTAGCACATTTGTACAACATTGTTTTGATATATGCACACACACACACACACACACACACACACACACATATACACACACATATATATATTCTCTATGACCTAATTCCTTGTTAAGAAGTTACCTTTGGGCTGGGAAGGTGGCTCAGTGGTAGAGCGCTTGCCTTGCATGCCTGAGGCCCTGGGTTCAATTCCTCAGCACCACATAAGCAAAAAGAAAAAAGCCGGAAGTGGTGCCGTGGCTCAAGTGGTAGAGCGCTAGCCTTGAGCTGAAGAGCTGAGGGACAGCGCCCAGGCCCAGAGTTCAGGCCCTACGACCGGACCCAAAAAAAAAAAAAAAAAAAAAGAAGTTACCTTTATTTGCATATAGCTCATATTTATAAACAAGTGATCAATAAAAAGGAATAAAATGAATTTTTTTTTTTTGTTGGTCATGGGGCTTGAACTCTGGACCTGGGAACTGTCCCTCAGCTCTTCAGCACAAGGCTAGCATACTACCACTTGAGCCACAGCACCACTTCTGGTTTTGTGAGTGGTTTATTGGTGATAAGAGTCTCACAGAGGGGCTGGGAAGGTGGCTCAGTGGTAGAGCGCTTGCCTTGCATGCCTGAGGCCCTGGGTTCAATTCCTCAGCACCACATAAGCAAAAAGAAAAAAGCCAGAAGTGGCGCTGTGGCTCAAGTGGTAGAGTGCTAGCCTTGAGCTGAAGAGCTGAGGGACAGAGCCCAGGCCCAGAGTTCAGGCCCCACGACCAGACCCAAAAAAAAAAAAAAAAAAGAGTCTCACAGACTTTCCTGCCTGGGCTGGCTTTGAACCATGATCCTCTGATCTCAGCCTTCTGAGTAGCTAGGAGTATAGGCATGAGCCACCGGCACCTGGCTAAAATGAACTTTTAAAGGTGTTCAATTGATATATGCTTTTGCAGGTGATCATAAGTATTATTTGTTTGTTACCCAGAAGACAACACAGGCATCTCTACTTAGTGGAAGTGACCACAAAGGCAGGCCCAGAAGACTATGCAAGCAGGAATGATATCTTGGTGTCTTGAGTCAAGCTATAGTGTGCCTGGGTGCTATGTAAGTGGGGGAGCTAGCCAGAAGCAGTCACACCATTCAACAGAATCTCTAGGCCATTTGAGAAGATACTTGGGTCTAGAAAAGTAAGAGGCAGCTATCTTCCCTCGGATCCTTTAATGACAGGCAGACAAAACTCTATGCCTTGACCTGACCACAGGCTATATCGGGACTATCACTTTCTTCTAGAACATTCCCTTTCCACAACCTTCCCTTGCAGGCTACATGCCTGTTGCATCCACCTTCCTTCTGTTCTGCAAACACACAAAGCTCCTTCCTTTTGTCCTGGCTATGTTTTCCATCTAGCATTCTGTTCTCCATGATCTTCACATGACTGCTTCTTTCTTGTCATTCTGAGTCCACTTCCAAATCACCCCCAGAGAAATGTTCTGTGACCATGGCTTTGCATTATTACTGGTTCCACTCATGTTGAGTCTATGTGAATCCTTTCATACCACTGGAACCTGGGCTGTTACCTTCTTTGGTCAGCAACTACATAACAGAATAACTAAGCTTCATAGGAACAAAGACTTTGCTTGGTGACTACTGTTTTATCAGTGTCTAGAATACCAGAACCATTTCATAAGTATTGAAGACAACAATAATTTAATTTGCAATCATATATACAAGTGTAGGATAACCTGCAAGATTGTCTTTTCTAATCCAAAGATATTTATCCTTACTACCTAGCAGAGGAAGAACTAATGTTGGGTATGAACTGAGAAATGTTAACTTGTTTTTAGTGTAAACTAATCTCATATATGCACAAAGGAAACATAATTATGAAGGTTGTGGTATGGACACCACACAGAAACTTCCTGATTATTTCTAACACAACCACAGAAGTTCCTGTTATCTCTAATTGGAAAAACAAAGCATATGATGTACAAACATGTAACAGCATTCACATACAGTGCTACTCACAAGTTCATCTAGGAATAAAAGAGTTTCTCCCAAATAAATGTATAAACATTAAGGGGAAATAAAATTAGCATTGCCTGAAGATGGTAGGATAGGCATTGTTCACTATGTTGTCCATAAGAAACAACACAGGGAAAGCAAATCAACTTTGAAGAATAACAGATAGCTTATGTAATTCTACTCCCACTGTTTAGATGCCAGTTGCTTTAAGTTAATATTATGGATGCTGTATAATTTGATTTTGAAACTCTTAAGCCTTTTAAATGAATATGATTTCTTCTTATTCCTGAACTATAAGGATACATTGTCTTTTGGGTTATGTTTATTTAGGATTAACACCTTGGCTACAATGTTTGAGGCTGCATAAATATAAACTAAAATGTAACTGAATTTAAAACATGGTTT